CATTTGACTATACTTTTATTCATTCATTTTTTACAAGATAACCATAATTTACTTAGTTTATTTTATAACAGTTCATATTATCATCCCAAATCTATCCTAAAATCATTTTGTAGATATAATAAAAAAGAAGTACATCTTTATATATTTATTATTTTCTAAAAGTACATATTTCATTACTGTACTTTATTGTCTAACCATTGATAAAAAAGATCCCAAATTTTATAAAATTGTTTATCCTCTTGTTCTCTAATTTCAAATGTCAATTTACTCATTTCAGCACATTCCAATATTTTCTTAATGATTTCTTCCTGTGATGGTATTTTCTCATTTTTCCAGTTTTTAGCAAATACAATCCTAGCCGCTGTTAATACATTTACAATCAGGTATTTCAAGTCTTTACTATATATTTCAGGTAAAATTCCCAACAAAAATATCTCTGGTTTCAAGTCTATATGGTTTTTTGTCATTTTTTCCAACCACGTGTGGATTTTAGTCCAGTATTTTTTAGCATCCGCACAAGTCCACCACATATGGTAATATGAGCCAGGTGTTTGATGACATTTCCAACATTTTTCAGATTTATTCTTGAACATTCTTGCTATTCTTGTCGGGGGGGAAATGCCACCTGTAAAACATCTTATACAAATTTTCTTTATATGCTGTTGACATTGTCATTTTATAATTTTGAGACCACAATTTTTGCCATTTCTCTAAATCAATCCCATATCCAAAATTCTTCCCCCAAGCAATCATAGTTTCTTTAACTTGTTCTTCTTCTAGTTTAATTTCTAATAAATATCCATACAATTTTTAAATCACCTTTTCATCAGTACCTGTCAAAATCTTATCTAAGTCAGTCAGTTTATCATAGAAACCTTCTGTTTTAGAATCTTTATCATACCTTGAATGTATTTGCGCATATGAGAACCAATTCATCTTTATACCTTGTTCCATCTTTATACCTTGTTCCTCTAGATTTAAGTTCACCCTTTTCATTCAATATTTCACCATATCTAACTGTTTGTTCCTTTTTGTATATTATAGGATAAGAAAATGCTTCAATAGTCGATAGCCAGACTGGAATTTTCAAATAACATTGTCTTTTAATCTTCTCCCATTTTAACCACAGAGACTCCCGTAATATAATGTCTTCTAAAATACCCCTGTGTTTTATTTCCTTTGTAGTACCATAAAAAAGCATGCCACCCCAACAACAAATCATGTCCTTCGAATGTCAACAATCTAGTATTTCTTAGTGTTATCCATTCCTTAACCCACATCAAATTTGTAGCTTGGTAGTACAACTCCCAATTAGGCAAACCAAATCCTCCTCTAATTCTAGCATCTTGCAAAAGTTTTAACTTTATTCTCGCTTTCTTACCTTGCCATATATATTTCAACACAATTTTATTTAAATCTTCAAAGTAGTCTTTTCCAATTTTATGATGGACGCTTTATCTAGGTTGCCCCAATATAACAGTGTCCGCCCAGAAATGATCCATCCTATTGTTCCTACAAGGCTGCCCCAATGGTCACCAAAGCCCAGAAAAAGGGGGATGTTAACCTTTCAAGTGATTTAACTGTACAGTTAAAAGACGTTTTAAAACTGGATGATTGATTCTTTTTTTTTTAAAACAAGTTTTATTTTCAAGACAAACAATACATAAATACACATAAACACAAAACATAAAAGTATAAAAAATCTCTTTTCTGAAAGTTGCTTATTCCCGGGTTAAAACTCTTGGTACAGACACAAGTTCAATTTCATATTCATTTTACATACCATTTCATATCTTCTTAACATTTTCAATTTTCTATATAACTTCTCTCCTTTAAATTTTCTCAAATTTTTTTTTTAATTTTTTTTATCTCCTCTCAATTCATATCGTAATATTTATTATTCTTTGTCTGTTCTATTCCAGCCAATCATTTATTTTTCTTCTTTAAAAAAGAAGAAGAAGTACTTCTCCTATACACTATATGGAGTATGATGCCTTTATCTTTTTCCCCTATATTTATAGTACTTAATATAAAATACATAACATACATTGGGATTCTGTCTGGTACATTCTAAAATTATACTATATTATCAAAAATAATACAAATCTATTCATTAATATTGATATTCATTCATATCTTAGATGTTTAACTCATTACTTTTCAATTAAATCACATGCTTTTATGAGAGCCCTATTTTTCAAAATTATTCCCCTCCCCACATCACATATTGTAGCTCAATATTTCATTGAAATGTTCCTCCTTCTTCTACTTCAAATCTCATTTCACAAAGGGTTTGCTAATATACCATCTTCTAATTATTAATATTAACAATCATTTATATCTTAAACATTTTATCCATTTCAATTGAATATCATGCCTTTGTGGGAACACTTATGCTTTCCACGATTATTACCCCCCCCCCCACATCACAATCTTGAATCATATTTCATTACAGTACTCCCTTTTTCTTAACAAAAATTTCACTTGTTTATGTTAAATATTTTATCACATTTTAGGTTACATATTGTTTCTAATTTTCTATGTTTACTTCTAAATACAAGTATAAAAATGCAATCTTATGTACCTTTCTAGAATCCCTTTAACCATAAAGCTTAGCCATTATCTCTAAAAAAAGTTTGCTTCTTAACATCTTGCTCCCCACCATTAGGACTTCTCATCCCTTCCTTTTTTTCTTGTTTCTTCTTCTCCTTATCCTCTTTAACCCCTTGCCTCTCCACCTCCCTTTTATTCTGCTTTCCCCCTTTCTGTTGTTTCTTAACATAATGTCCCCTTTTCACCTTATTCTTCTCTTTTTGGGCTATTTTTCCAGATCTTAAAGACCTTTTCCCCTTTTTCTCTTGCTTTTTCTCTTCTCCAGTCAAAGTAATTTGTTCATCAAAGATGGCTTCTCCTTCTTCTTTATCCCCATCATCCTCATTCTGCTTCACATAAGTATAAATCGCCATTTCCAAGTATTGAAAAATAGTGTCAAGACCATCTTCCCCTCCTTGTTTTTCTCTTTCAAATTTTTGATATATAAGTTCCAATTCATCCATAGATGATGCCATTGTGTAGAGAAAAAGTTTTTCCAAACAACCACCCAGATGATTTAATCAGAAGTAATTTCCAAAGGTTCCAAAATGATGATTGATTCTTAAGCTACTCAAATGACTGTACTATTTGAGATGGTCTAGCATGGGTGGGGGCCAAGTTATATGTACCAGCTAGCCTTAGGGGTCCCATCTTAAAGCAAGCCCACGATTTAAAAGCCGCTGGACATTTTGGTTTAGTGAAAACCTTACATTTGGTCAAACAGCAATTTTGGTGGCCAACCTTGAAAAAAGACATAGAAGCTTATGGACCTAGTTGTCCTATTTGTGTTTCGGCCAAACAACCACCTGGAAAACCTGCTGGTCTACTACAACATATCGCTAGGCCGACTGCCCCATGGAAGGAAATTTCCATGGATTTTATAGTGGAATTGCCTGAAAGTGGGGGAAATACAGTCATTTGGGTGGTTACTGACTTGTTTTCCAAGCAGGTACATTTCATACCCTGTTCAAAAATCCTATCTGCAAAAATGTTGGCTAAAATGTTTATTTTATATATGTATAGAATACATGGTGTTCCTGAATGGATAATTTCAGATACGGGGGTCCAATTTGCATCAAATTTCTGGAAGGAATTCCTGAGGTTTTTGGGCTCTGCCCAGGGGTTAAACCAATGGGGCCTGTGAGAGAACTCAGTATTGGAACAATATCTTAGATGTTATATCAATTATCAACAGAATGATTGGTCAGACCTACTGCTTTTCGCAGAGGCGGCTTATAATAACTCGGTTATTTATTTTCTCGGAACAACACTGTGGCCGCCAGCTGAGGCCTGGCAGGTTGGATGAAACTTCACTCAAGGTTCTTATCAATAAACAAACACAATTCCTCTAATTCTCGTGATGTCATCAAATACAGTTTAGGCTTAGGGAGCTTCACCCCTGGCAGAATCTCAATGCTGCAATGTGTAGGGGGGGACCGCATCCAGCGCTTCCTCACTAAAAACCTCCCTTAAGTCCCGATACTCTTCAGGGATTTTTTTCTATCCCACAATGCTTCCACTGCCCATCGATGCCAACTCTGTGGAATTCTGGGGCTTTCTTAGAGACAGCCCCTCCCCTTCTGGGGGTTGGTCTGTGCATATGCGCAGTAGCCCTTTCCTCCAGTTCACTTGGGGATTCCATTTCCTAAGCCAGGGCTGTCCAAGTAATAAGGGGCACTCCATCCCAGGGGCCACCATGAAACACAACGTCTCTCGATGCCTCCCCATTGACATTTCCACTGGCTCTGTTAGAAAATGAGCAAGGCCACCCCCAGCTACTGATCCATCCAGTTGGCAAAAGGCTATGGGAGTTTTTAAAGTTTTTAGCCTCAGTCCCAGTTTCTCCACGACTTCGGAGCTAATTACAGTAACACCCAGAGTCCAGCAGGGCCAGTGTTTTCCCCTGGGGGCCAGAAGTTGAACAGAAGTTGCCTCCAGAAGTTGTGGGAGCTCCATCACTGGAGGTTTTCAAGGAGAGCCTGGACATCCATTTGTCTGGAAGGGTATAAAGTCTCCTTCTTAAACAGCGGGCTGGACTAGAAGACCTCCAAGGCCCCTTCCAACTCTGTTAAGCTTATGAAGTAAGGCACACTCCAAAAATTCAACATAATCATTGTTGTGTAAGTCTATAACCCAACATGAGTCAGGACATTTTGTGCCCAAACTGGCCTGTGCGATCATCTTCAGACATACCACATTTAGGTTCAAGGTGACCACTGATGTTGAGAGTTTCATCAATGATTGTGGATGAACAACATTTGCTGTTTTTGCATCGAATATTAAACATAACCCAGAGCTCCCTGTTACGACCAACTCTGTCTGATTTTGGCCTGTGGCTAAAAAAAGGCCGTTAAAAAAAGTTTGCTATTTTGCCCCCACTCCCCTCCAATGAGTAACTCCTACCTTGTAGTCATTGCTCGTGGCTGCTATGGCTGTCCCAAAGGTGTTATTGTTGGACCAGTTTCCATCTCCGTAGGGGAAGTTGGCATTGCTTCCTTGTTGGCTGGATCAGCGATCGCCTGTGGTGCATTTCCCGAAGATGTTGTTCTCATGGACGCTGGCCACTGGCTGCCTCTGTTGGTGGTCATGTTGCAGTTGATCTGGTAGATCTCACCATTTTCATTGGTCAGGATATACAGTCCATCTGCCAATCAGCAGATATATAGAGATAGAGATAATGAAACATCTGCAAGGAAAAAGCTCAGAGAGTACCAAGGACCCCTGCACTCTTCCTCCTCACCAGGGTTGGGATTCAGTTTTTTTAACAACCGGTTCTGTGGGCGTGGCTGAGTTGGTGGGTCATGTGACTGGGTGGGCATGCCCAACTCAACATCAGTCATGTCAAGGGGCGCTTCTCGTCTGGCCTCTCATGTCAGTGGGGATGCTGCAACAGTCATAAGTGAAAACTGGTAATAAGTCACTTTTTTCAGTGCCATTTTAACTTTGAATGGTCACTAAATGAACTGTTGTAAGTCAAGGATTACCTGTACAAAAATACAAAAAGCTTCTTTGCTGGCAAAAAGCTGCCCTAAATACCAACCATTAGATTAAAAATATCTGCAAGCCAGAGTTACAAATCAGGTAGGGTGCCAGAGTACCTTGAGGAATGAAAATAGTTAAAATGCAGTGATAACTATCAAGCAGCCAACTTTTGCTCATAAAGTGAAACCCTTTAGCAGAGGTCATTTAAGCTCTCCAGAAAAAGCACACCCAGGAGAAGCAGTCCTTAGATCCATTTGCACCACTTAAAGACACCAGCTGGTCTCACTCGCCTCACAAGATATCCTAAGGAAATCATGCAGATTTAAGGAAAGGTCACATTCTCCCCAGAAAGGCAGTAAAAAAAATAATCAGTGCCAAGCTTGCATCCTGCCTCTTGGAAGTACACCCCAAAAGGACAGTGCCAGATACCATTAAAGAAGTGAAGGAAGACCCCCTCCCCAGATAGAAAAAGAAACCATGAGGCAGGAAAAAATTCAAACACAATGCAAATAATTAAATCACAACAGTAGCTGTTCCTTGTTGTATCTGAATAGGGAAAATTATCCCATCAATAAACACAGGATTAACCTTCACCAAAAACCAGTTTTAAACCAAAACTCATAAAGAGTATGTAAACTCACATTTGAATGTCAATCTTTCTAGCTAGCCAAGAAGCCTTGCTGAATGTCACTCATTTTGGTTCCCTGTCACTAAAAGCTTTGCTTCATTATTCAATTATTTCTTCAAAGTGCTGATTGTCCAGGGAAATAGCAGTGTAAAAATCTTAAAACAACTCTTCCCCTTTAAAAAAGTCAAGCCCCAGAAGCTCCGGAAACAGGAAGTCTAGGCTGTCTGCCAAGAATGTAATAAGGGTGGAAAAAAACAAAAGGAGGTTGCTTCTAACTACCGGTTCTGAACTGCTTAGATTTTAGAAAGTTAACAAGGGGTTCTATAGAACGGGATAGAACTGGTAGAATCCCATCCCTGCTCCTCAACCTCTCCTCCTCCTTCCCTCCTCTCCCTTCTCCATTTGTCCTCTTCCTCCTTCCTTCTTTCTCCTCCTCTTCCCCCTCCTCCTCCTTCCCTCCGCCTCCTTTTTTTCCTCTTCCCCCTTCCTCCCCTTCTTTTCCACCCCTCCCACTCCTCCATTTCTCTTCCTCCTCTTCCTCCTCTCCTTCCCTCCTTTCTTTTTCCTCCATTTGTTTTTACCCTCTTCTTCCTCCTCCTCTCCCCCTTCCTTTACTTCTTTCTCCCTTCCTCTTTCTCCTTCTTTCTTCTTCCTCCTCCCTTCCTTCTCCTCTCCTCCATTTGTCTTCCTCCGTCATCTGCTTTTCATGTCCGCAAACACTATTTCATAATAACCAATTTACATCAATGGTAGAAGATAATGTCAATTTTGAATTATAATGGTAAAATGAGCTGCAATGATTCCAAACTATATAACTAAGATCTATACAAAATTATGTTAATAGAAATTAACTATGGCTGGCTGGACTTCTGGGAGTTGAAGTCCATCTATCTTCAAGCTGCCAAGGTTGAGAAAGTCTGGTTAGATTCTCATTGTTGGCATGATAAACGGGGCTGAAAGTTTGCTGACCTCTGGTATGTTAAAAAAAATGTTCCCTGGATTTTGAGCAGAACTTTGTCTTAACAAAGCAGGAGCCTCCAAATTTGGTAACTTTAAGACTTGTGGACTTCAACTCCCAGAATTCATGGCTGGCCCTGGGCATTTTGGGAGTTGAAGTCCACAAGTCTTAAAGTTGCCAAGTTTGAAGAGCCCTGTAATAAACAATCAGAATCAGAGATGGTATCCAGCCGGTTCTGACCAGTTCTGGAGAACTGGTAGCAGAAATTTGGAGTCGTTCAGAGAACCGGCCAATCCCACCTCTGACTGGCCCCACCAACCCCATCTCTTCTCTGCCTCCCATTGAGTCCCAGCTGATCGGCTGGGTCTTCTTTGGTTGCCCTGCACAGGAGAATGGAGCTGGAAAGCAGGTTAGTGGGGTGGGGAGGGATTGGGGCTTTTGCAGTACCCTTCCCCTGCCACGCCCACCAAGCCATGCCCACAGAGCTGGTAGTAAAAAAAATTGTATCCCACCACTGATCAGAATAGGGCTGGAAGGGACCTTGGAGGTCTTCTAATCCAGCCCCCAGCTGAAGCAGGAGACCCTACACCATTTCAGATAAGCGGCTGTCCAGTCTCTTCTTAAAAACCTTCTATGATTAAACTCCCACAACTTCTGGTGGCAAGCAGTTCCACTGGTTGATTGTCGTCACTGTTAGGAAGTTTCTGCTTAATTCCAGTTGTTTCGCTCTTTGGTTAGTTTCAATCCATTGCTTCTTCTACCTTCTGGTGCTTTGGAGAATAGGTGGACCCCCTCCTTCTTTGTGGCAGCCCCTCAAATATTGGAATACCGCTATCCTGTCACCCCTAATTCTTCTTTTCTTTAGACTAGCCAGACCCAAATCCTGCAACCTTTCTTCTTAGTCTCCAGGCCTTTGATTATCTTATTTGCTCTTCTCTGACCTTTCCCCAAAGTCTCAACATCCTTTTTTTGTAATGTGGGGACCAAAACTGGATGCAGGATTCTAGGTGTGGCCTTACTAAGGATATATAAAGTGGTACTAATACTGCCCTGGTCAATACAGATTGACCATGGCAGGGATGGCCATTGGTGTGTGTGTGTGTGTGTGCACCACAAAGTCAAAATGGCAACCACAACCATGCAGCCAAAGCTCTCTCCTCCTGGGGTGGGATTCAACCAATGTAACAACCGGTTCGGTGAGTGCACATGAGCCAAACACGCGCTTTGCGCATAGCATTTGAAAACTGTCCATGTTCAGCTCTTAATACTTACCTTCTACTGCAGCCCTGGTGAGTGAAACAGCAATCCATTGTGCTGTGCGAATCAGCAGAGCTGATCCGGAACACGGAAATAAAGGACAGGAAAGAGCAGCGGTGGGTGAGCGGGGCCAAAGGATCACTGGAGCGACTGGTTTGTCCGCACTGATGCGAACCAGTAGAATCCCCCCCCCCCGCCCTCCTCTCTTTCCCATGCCTCGCAGTGCCCATCATGGTCCTAAATACCCAGAAGCGGAGAGATGTGTCTTCGGTCCGACTTAAGCATGGTATATAAAATCATACATTGCAATGTCCTACCTGTCAATGAATACTTCAGCTTCAACCATAACAACACAAGAGCACACAACAGATACAAACTCAAAGTAAACCGCACCAAACTTGATGGCAGGAAATACGACTTCAGCAATAGAGTGGTCAATGTCTGGAATACTCTACCCGACTCTGTAGTCTCTTCCCCAAACCCCAAAAATTTAACCTTAGACTGTCTACTATTGACCTCACCCCTTTCCTAAGAGGTCTGTAGGGGGCGTGCATAAGCGCACCAACGTGCCTACCGTCCCTGTCCTATTGTTTCTCTTATTCTTTTATTTTTCTTATATGTACCCATTTCATGTATTCACAACTATGTATACACTTGTACTTATTATCTTGTAAACAATTGACAAATCAAAATAAATAAATAAATAAAAAAAAATGTGACGGGGCTAAAGCATCCTCTTTGCTCACCTGGAGCCTCTGGCATGGTAGCTTTGATTTCCTTGCAGCTCTGGTACGGCTTCTGGGGTTGGCCTGGCTGGGAGGGCTGGCAGGTAGACCCCGTTTCCCATTTCCTAAGCAGGCCCTGGAGGTCTTCCTTGGCTTTGGTGATGCAGCAGCCGACGGCTGTCGAGACAATACCCAACAAAGCATAACTCAACAACCAAGCCGGAAGGATGTTCGCTACCCACTGCTACCCATTGGCCACTGGGCGTTACTTCTATTTGATTTATTTATTTTTACAATTGATTAGCCACCCATCTTACCATCAGGTGAGGCTGCGGGGCTTATAATATTAAAAAGATAAAACTGCATGTAGTAGAATAGAATGAATGAGCTGGAAGGGACCTTGGAGGTCTTCTAATCTAGCCCCCTGCTCAAGTAGGAGAACCTATAGTATTTCAGATGTGACTGTCTAGACTCTTCTTAAAAACCTCCAGCGATGGAGCTCCCAGAACTTCTGGTGGCAAGCTGTTCCAGTGGTTAATTGTTCTCACTATCAGAATGTTTCTCCTTAATTCCAGGTTTCTCTCCTTGATTAATTTCCATCCCTTTTTTCTGGTCCTGCCTTCCGGTGCTTTGGAAAATAAGTTGACCCCCTGTTCTTTGTGGAATCATGTTTCCCTCATCATGTTTCCCTATCATGTTTCCCTCAGTCCTTTTTCACTAGACTAGACATACCCATTCTTGGAGCTAAATTGCATCAGGTATCTTAAACCCATACCCAAGATGATATGTGAACGCTAACAGAGTTGGAAGGGACCTCAAAGGTCTGCTAGTCCAACCCCTTGCTCAAGCAGGAGGCCCTAGCCTAGACCATTTCAGACAAGTGGCTGTCCAGTCTTTTCTTAAGAATCTCCAGTGATGGAGCATTCACAATTTCTGGTGGCAAGCAGTTCCACTTGTTAATTGTTCCCAATGTTAGGAAGTTTCTCCTTAATTCCAGGTTGCTTCTCTCCTTGATTAGTTTCCATTAGTAGTCCTTGACTTATGACCAGCATGGAGCCCAACATTTCTGTTGCTAAGTGAGACATTGGTTAAGTGAGCTTTGCCCCATTTTAGATCTTTCTGGCCACAGTTGTTAAGTGAAAGTTGGTAACATGGGTGTTAAATGAATCTGACTTCCCAATTGACTTCACTTGTCAGATGACCCCAGGACACTGCAACTGTCAAGTACATGCCAGTTGCCAAGCCTCTGAATTTCGATCACCTGATCATGGGGGTGCTATAAAAGTCGTAAGTGTGAAAAATGATGATAAGCCCATTTTTTCCAGTGCCGTTGTAACTTCAAACGGTTACTAAATAAACTCTTGTAAGTCGAGGACTGCCTGTACCGCATGTAAGACCTTGAGGGCACTATCCTGTGGTTTTATTTATATTTATCTTTTAACGGCTTAATGGTTTTAAAGATTTTATTTTCAACTGTCAGCTGTCTCACTGTGTATTACCCAAAATCCCATTTGTGAGATTGGCAGCCATAAATAGGTAAATAAATTTGTTTTTTTTTTCCTATCGCACATCTGTTTCAGTTTGTTCTTTTCCTGAAAACAGTCTGTGCCAGCAGTTGTACCCAGGGAGATGTTTTCTGGTATGGCATTAGGCATGTCACATTTTCCAGCTTTCAATTTCCAAACATTAGGCATGCTCAAACATTGTGACATGCCTTGGTAATTGTAAATATACTTTGGTTACTTTCATATAATTTAGGTGTGCTTGGTAAACAACTATGTAAATATCATAAATTTTCAGACCAGCAATTCCCTAGTACATATCAAAGAACATTATTCTGTGTGTAGCGAGCTTGGCGGAAGATATCTTTATCATTTCACTCCAGAGAAAGGCTCAAAAACAGGAAAACCTGCTCAAGTAATGGCAGATAATCTGATGTATTTCATGAAGAAGAAGACAGGCATTGACAAAAGCTTGAAGGCCATGGGAGTAGATTCTACAAATGTTAATATTGGTCATCACTGGAGGTTTTCAAGAAAAGACTGGGCAGTCACCTGTCTAAAATGGTACAGGATATCTTGCTTGAGCAGAGGGCTGGACTAGAAGACCTCCAAGGTCCCTTCCAGCTTCGCTTCTATTCTATTCTATTCTATTCTATTCTATTCTATTCTATTCTATTCTATTCTATTCTATTCCATTCCATTCCATTCCATTCATTATTTCATATTCTAGTCTATTTTATATTCTATATTCTATTCTATCCTATTATTTCATATTCTATTCCATTCTATATTCCATATTCCACCCCACTCCATTCTACTCTACTCTAAATACTGGCTGTGAAGATGGTGCCATGCGCTGGGGGCTCTGCTGGAGCTGATCTCTGCTGGTCTGAAGGTGTATATGAGCCCCTTTGATGTGCAAATTGACCACAGCAGAAATAAAGAAGTTCATTGACAAACCAAGGCAAGGACCACAGTGGCCCCATCATGTCCAGTCATTGGAGAGATGTGTGAAACAGATCCCAGGGGCAGCAAGCAGAGAAACTGGAGAGCAAGCAGGAGAAAAGCGAGGGTTATATCAAGAGGCCAAGAAGCCAATCCCACCAGGCTCAAGGTTGGCTCCGCCCTTCCGTCCTTTCGAGGTGGGTAAAATGTGGCCCCAGATTGTTGGGGGCACCATGCTGACTCTGTAAACTGATTAGAGAGGGCTGTAAAAGTTGCGAAGCAGTATATAAGTCTTAAGTGCTATTGCTCAGTGCTATTGATGAAATAATTTCTAGAAAGAGTGCAGACAAGAGCCAAAAAGAGTGCAGAAAGAGAGCCAAAAAGACTGGGACTGGAGGGTAAAATGTATGATGAAAGGTTGCAGGAATTGGGTATGTCTAGTCTAGAGAAAAGAAGGACCAGGGGTAAAAGGATAGCAGTGTTCCAGTATTTGAGGGGCTGCCCCAAAGAAGAGAGGGTCAACTTGCCCTGCAAAGCACCAGAAGGCAGGAGAAGAATCAATGGATGGGACTCCCTCAAGGAGAGGTGCAACTTTGCACTAATTTCCTGACTGAGGACAAGTAGCCAGGGGAAAGGCTTGCCTTCAGAAGTGGTGACGCTCCATCTCTGGAGGGTTTTAAAAAGAGATTGGGCAGCCGTGTGTCCATGACATTTTAAGGTCTCCTGCCTTGAGAAAGGGGTTGGACTAGAAGACCTCCAAGGTCCCTTCCAGCCCCAGGATTCAGTGATTCTTTGAGAACCCACTTTCCCACAAATCCACCGGTTAGTCACTCACCTGCAGGTTGTGCTTTTGCAAAGGCAGACCAGGCCAGCAGTAGAAGAGCCAATAATAACATCATTGTGGATGAGCCTCTAGAGAAAAATGTGAATTAATCTGTTTGTAAATTAAAAGCAGAGATGGGGTCCTTTAAGAATCTGTGCAAAGGCACAATTGCCCAAGAAGATGCTGCTGGCACTGTTTGATTGCTGTTGTTAAGCATACTTTGTGTCTAATCCAGGGGTGTCCAACCTTGGCAACTTTAAGACTTGTGGAGTTGAAGTCCACAAGTCTTAAAGTTGCCAAGGTTGGACACCCCTGGTCTAATCCATCTTCTTGCCAACTTCCAGGAGCACATTAAGAGCCCCATTGCTTTTCAAATTCTGCCCAGGTGCCAAGACCCAGACTTCAACGAACAGCAATAATCGTTTTAAATGGTTTTAAGGTGTGAAATACATATTTCAGATTTGATGGGGGAATTGGGCTTGGATTATTTTTTTTGCCACGGGAGTTCTGAGAAAAATATTAAATCACTTCTGGCAAATTGCAAAAGGTTTTCTTTGATTTGAAAGACAATTTAGGGCTGGTTGAAACAGAAACGTTGCAGTTCATACCGCCTTTTCTGAAAAACAGATCTTTTTTTGAGGAATAAACAGGATTTAAATCTCAAAATACTTGGCCACTTGTTTTTTGTGGTAGATTTAGAAGACATTTTTGGATCATAATCCTGTGAGTTTGGCTTATAAAAAAATTGTATTCTTTTAGATGGACAGTGAGAGCCGTCAATCAGTGGAACAGAAGTTGCCTTCAGAAGTTGTGGGAGCTTCATCACTGGAGGCTTTCAAGAAGAGACTGGACTGCCATCTGTCAGAAATGGTGTAGGGTCTCCTGCTTGGGCGGGGGGTTGGACTAGATGACCTACAAGGTCCCTTCCAACTCTGTTAATCTGTTAGATCGGGAGTCTCCAAGCTAGTCTCCAAACTTGAAGACTTGTGCGTGCTAGCTGGGCAATTCTGGGAGTTGGAGTCCACAAGTCTTAAAGCTGCCAAGTTTGGAGAGCTCTGATATAGATGGAGACTTTGGGAAAAGTTGCCACAAAAAGAAGCAACAGCAGAGGATTGTAAAAAGCAATTAAAAGATTTTGGGGGGACATGATTTAGGTAAGGCACTGATTTAAGACTGGTTTGGGAAGCAAGTAAAGCCTTAATCTGATGAGTGAAATCAGCTCAGTTCTGGAATTGCAAAGTGCAGTGAGCAATATCACCAAACTTCACCATATGTTAAATCAGATTTTAAAAAATGTAATGATGGTTAATATTGTAATATTAAGAAACTTATGAATGCTGGGCTTAAGCTGGTCTTTGGCTGTTGGGTTGAGCATGCTGTGAGAACACAACCTTCAATCCCCATTTAACAAATGTCTCCATTTTTCTACTACCATAAATTTAAAAAGGCATACTTTAAATATTGTGCGTTGCAGAATCCATGCTTGTTCCTGGCTTTTCCATCTGCACCCCAATAATCAAACCCCATTCACCTTCCTGGCAAATTTCTGACTCACCTGATCAATCTCCAGTGTTTCTTTGATGAACGCCTTGAGAACAGGTTTGTCTTACCTGGATGAGGAAGATCACTTCGCCTGAAGAAACCAGGAAGCTCAAATCAGCCTGGTCTTCTCGTTCAGCTTTATTAAGCAGCTGGATTTCGAAATTCACCTCCCCATCAGAACAGGAAATGAAAACCAGGAAGTCCTGAAATGAAGAGGGGCTGTTTACACCCACAAGATAAAAGGGTTTCAGGAACAGTTTTGGCCAATACAGAAGTCAAATGAATAGGATAATCTTGGTGCTGTATGAACTTGGTGGTTTCCTAGCAGATGTTGTTTTGATTACAACAGAATAACAGAGTTGGAAGGGACCTTGCAGGTCATCTAGTCCAACCCCCTCCCAAACAGGAACCCTACACCACAGGGGTGGGATTCAACCGGTGTTACTACTGGTTCGATACTTATGTTTTATGCACGCAAGCGCGCTTTGCGCACATACGCGCTAGACGTGTGCTATGCACGCGTATAATACAACGAACGCTGTGCCTCCCAGACAGCTGATAAGCACTGCATGTAGGTGTGCAGTGTTTGAAAAATGCCTTTTTTTTTTTTTTACTGATTTTTCAACTCAGCTGTGCCATGCAAAGCAGCTGAGGTTGAAAAAAGCAGGAAATAAAGGTCAAGTAAGAGCCCAGGCAGGCATGTGGGCCAAACAGCAGCAGACACTGAACCAGTTCGCTGTCTGCTGCTCTTCAGAGCTACCGGTTCTACAGAGCCGGGCAGAACCGGTAGCATCCCACCATGGGTGGGATTCAAATTTTTTAACAACCGGTTCTGTGGACGTGGCTTAGTTGGTGGGCGTGGCCAACTCAATATCACTCACATCAAGGCACGCATCTCCTCGCCTGGCCTCTCATGATTGTGGGGATGCTGCAACAGTCATAAGTGTGAAAAAGGGTCATAAGTCACTTTTTTCAATGCCATTGTAATTTTGAATGGTCACTCCACATAAGCAAAGTACCAGCAAAGGAGGGGGAAAAAACTCCAGAGAAGTTCCTGAGACAGGAAGTCTAGTCCTGCCAAGAATGGAATAAGGGTTAACGGAGAGGCAGTTTCTGTAAGCAACACCAGAATGTTTCCTTCCTGCCTTCCTGACAGGATTAGCCCAGTAATTTCTTCTAACAACCGGTTCTAGTGAATAGGTGCGAACTGGTAGAATCCCACCCCTGTATACCACCCCATTTCTGAAAGGTGGCAGTCCAGTCTCTTCTTGAAAGCCTCCAGTGATGGAGCTCCCAAAACTTCTGAAGGCAACTTCTGTTCCATGGGTTGATTGTTCTCCCTGTCAGGAAATTTATCCTTATTTCCAGGTTGAATCTCTCATTCAGTTTCCATCCATTATTCCTTGTCTGGCCTTCGGGTCCTTTGGAAAATAGCTTGGTCCCCTCCTCTCTATGACAGCCCGTTAGATATTGGAAGATGCTATCATGTCTCCCCTGGTCCTTCTCTTCACTAGATTAGACTAGCCATGCCCAATTTCTGCAACCATTCATTGAATGTTTTAGCCTCCAGTCCCCTCATCATCCTGGTTCCTCTTCTCTGCACTCTTTCTAGTGTCTCAACCTCTTTTTTATAGTGTGGTGACCAAAACTGGATGCAGTACTCTAGGTGTGGTCTTACTCAGGCTTTACAGAGTGGTATTAGTACCTCCCTTGATCTCGATTGTATCCCTCGGTTAATGCAACTTAGGATCACATTGGCTTTTTTGGCTGCTGCCAGACACTGTTGGCTCCTATTTAGCTGGTTGTCCACTAAGACTCCAAGAACCCTCTCCCAGTTATTGCTATTAAGCCTGGTTTCATCCAATCTATATGTGTGCTTTTGGTTTTTCTTGCCTAAGTGTAGGACTTTATTCTGCTCTATATTGAATTTCATTTTGTTAGATATGGCCCAGTGTTCAAGTCTGTCAAGATCCATCTGGATTTTGAGCCTATTTTCTGGGGTGTTGGCTATTCCTGCCAGTTTAATATCGTCTGCAAATTTGATGAGTTCCCCTTCTATTCCCTCATCTAAGTCGTTTATGAAGATATTGAAGAGTCCTGGGCTTAAGACAGAACCTTGTGGTACCCCAACTGCTTACTTCCCTCCATGTAGACTTAGACCCATTAAGGGCTACTAGTTGGTTATGGTTTGTCAGCCAGTTATGAATCCATTTGGTGGTGGTGTTATCTATCCCACTTTTTTCTAGCTTACCAAGAAGTAAGGTTGTGGTCTACTTTGTCGAATGCCTTGCCTTACTGAAGTCCAGGTAAACTATGTCCACAGTATTTCGCTGGTCTACTAATTTAGTTACTATGTTGAAGAATGAAACAAGATTGATTTGGCATGATCTGTTTTTAACAAACCGGGCTGGCTGCTAGTTATTACTTTACTCGTTTCTAGGTGTTGGCAGTTCTGTTTTTTAATTATCTTCCCGGTATTGATGTTAGTTTGGTTGGTCTGTAGTTTCCTGGGTCTGTTTTTGTTTCTTCCTTTTTTGAAGATGGGAACCACATCAGCTCTTTTCCAGTCCTCTGATAGTTCTCTGGTGCTCTAGGATTTTTTATTTTATTTTTCATTGATTTTCTATTAAATACATTTCTTAGTGTTTTATAAACATTGTGTTATTTAAGGTATTTAATTTGTTTAACAATACAAATTACATTCTTAATCTCCACCCCTTTTTTCCAACCATTGGTAAAATAAATTCCATGTTTGATAATATTCTACATCCTCTTTCTGCTTAATTTTCAATGTCAATCTATCAATTTCTGCGCAATCTAGTATCTTCCTGACTATCTCTTCATCTTACAGTGTTTCTTCATTTTTCCAGTTTCGTGCGAAAATAATCCTCATTGCTGTTAAGTCATGTAATATTAAATACATAGTTTTCTTATTATACCTAATAAAACAATTTAGTTTATAGTCTATATGTTTCCCTATCATCTTTTCTAACCACCTGTGTATCTTTGTCCAAAACCTTTGAATTTTTGAAAGATATGATAGAATGGTTCTGAGATGACATCTGCCAGTTCCTTTAAACTCTGGGGTGTAATCTGTCACGTCCCGGTGATTTATATTCATCAAGATCAGACAGGTGTTCTCTTACCATTTTTTTTGTTTATTTTAACTTTTATTTCTAGTCTGTCTTGTTATGTTTTTGGTAAAACTATTGTTTTATTTTCCATGAAGACCGATGCAAGGAATGAGTTCAACAGCTCTGCTTTCTCTCTGCAGCCTGTTACTTCCTTGCTGTCTTTTCTCTTTAGTGAACTGTTTGTTTCCTTGTTTTTGTTTTTTTTTGTTATTTATATGTTGGAAGAAACCTTTTTAAAAATATCTTTGAGTTTGTTCATTCTGAACTTTTGCTTTCCTGACTTTGTCTTTGCAGATTCTGACTATCTGCTGATATTCTGCTTAGTTGTGTGTCCCTCTTTCCATTTCTGCTTTTTCATCTTTTAAATTTTTAGATTAACACAGTTGGAAGGGACCTTGTAGATCATCTAGTCCAACCCCCCACCCAAGAAGGAGACCATTTCTGACAAAGGGCTGCCAAACTCTTCTTGAAAGCTTCCAAGGATGAACCTCAATCACCCTTCCAGATGTTGATTCTGATGGAAAGTGCTACTTTCCAGAGACATCATTGAGGGCAGACAGAGTAGAGAAGAGAAAGAAATTCCAGGGAGTCCTGGGTTTATGGCCACAGTTGAGCCCAAAATTGCTGTGGTTAAGTGAAACGTGTTAAGTGAGGTCCCCCCCACCCCAATTTTATTACTTTTCTTGCCACAGTTGTTAAGTGAATCACTGCAGTTGATATGGCAGTAACCTGGTCATTAAGTGAATCTGCCTTCCCCATTGATTTTGCTTTTCAGGTCACAAAAGGGGATCACGTGATCCTGGGATACTGTGACCGTCACAAATATGAGTCAGTTGCCAAGCGCCTGAATTTTGATTGCATGGCGATGCCAGAATGGTCCTAAGTGTGAAAAATGGTCATAAGTCACTTTTTTCAGTGCCGTTGTAACTTTGA